TTAACCAATAAAATTTTATGATATCACGGGATGATCTACAAAAATTGGCCAATCGGAATGAAAGCCCGCTATGCTACCGTATATAATTAGTATAATCTTCAGGAACCTCCTCAAGATGTATTTCTTTGTTTACGCTGTCCCATAATTCTCTTTCAATAAGGTGAGATTTCAACTGCACCGGAACACAGCGAAGATCAATTATCCCGGATAAGAGAGGATCATCCTTTTTTAAATCCATATAATATACAGTTTCACAAATGCATTTTGCTATTTCGTTCATTTTACAACCTTTTAACTGAAATAGAAAATAAATCAGTATATTGATGAAATTGCGGATAGATCAAAATGAAACTTACGTTTTTTATATCATTTAATGTACTTCTAACATTTGTGTTTATACCTTCAACATTTGCATAACTTTCAATAGAATACTCATTAGCATAATTATACTTATCAACTATTTCAAGAATTCGAGATTTAACGTCAATTTTAGAGGCCTCTTTCATAACCCGAATCTCATTCGTTATTTCTTCCCAAAATGGTTTAACTTTTTTTTTCTATTTATGATTATTTTAAAAAAAAATTATTATTAAGTTTCATCAAAATTTAATCTGTTATAAACAAATACTATAATTTTCAGAATTTGCCAAAGTGTTTAATAAAATTTGCTGAGGATATAAACTTGAAAAGGAGGTGAGTTGTTTTGTCTATTAAGCGCTACTACACCTCAGTGAAGAAATATTTAAAGACAACAAAGCCACTCCAATTCGATAAAAAGTTCTATAACCTATTAAATGCTACTACACCTCAGTGAAGAAATATTTAAAGGTTTGTAAATTTATTCTTTTTAACCCATTAATTGCTACTATACCTCAGCAAAAAAATATTAAGGATCCAACAAGATCAATTTCAAAAAGAATGTTTTATCTAAGCTTTTGTCTAACCAGTTAAACGCTACTACACCACAGTGAAGAAATGTTTAAAGGCCCGACAAAATCACAGACTTTTGCAGTTTCATCATAGATATAATAGATACTAGATGTATAAATGTATTATTCATACCATATTATCTGTTATACTTGTATTTGTATGAATCGAATAAAACTCGTGCAGATGTTTTTTTATAGTTATTACGTCTTCACGAATACTAACATGCCCGAAAGCAAAACTACATAATACAAATATAAAAAATTTGTTAGGTGAACTTATTTCTTTTCTTTCGAGGATATTATCTATGATTTGTTTTATTAAATTTTCATTTCTCATTTTTTATCTCCGAAAGTTATTTGGTGTTACACATCTGATGATCGCTCTTTTAAAAATAATTACATTGGAAATTAGAAATGTTATCGAATACTGTACTACGTATATAAAGAACTTGGTTGCCCAGTCATGAGAGGATTGACCAAATTTAGGTTAGGGTGCATATTTCAGGAAAAAAGCACCATCTCACAAATAAGTTATGCATAACGGTAATACAGATGCGGAATTATTCCAACACGCATGATATTTTATTACTTCTGAAGATGTGTTACAACAAATTCAGATTTATTTTTATTCATTATACGAGAATTTTCACATTCACATCGCTTATATATTCCATTCGCTACTTTTTTGCATGTCTTACAATATAGGTGTGAATGATGATCGTATTC